ATTTTTGTATCTGACACTGACCCCTTCTGTCTGCCCTCAGACATTTATTTTAATTTAATTTAATTTAAATAAAATAAAAAATGCAAATGTGGCTGTTTTTTGCAGCTGCATTACGTGCAGGACAAGCTGTGTGCTGATAAAAGCCTGCAGTAGATGTTTAATTTGAAATAGAAATCAATTTTTACTTCTGAACTGATATTTTTGCATCTGACACTGAACCCTTCTGCTGCCCCAGCAGTGAGATGTCTGCCCTCAGTGAAATTAAAATAAAATATAAAAGCCTGCAATAGGTGTTTAATTTGAAATATAAGGCAATTTTTACATTTGACACCGACCCCTTCTGTCTGCCCTCAGTGAAATTAGAATAAAATATTAAAATTTTACTGTTCATTTCCAGATGCATTATGTCCAGGACAAGCTGTGTGCTGATAAAAGCCTGCAGTAGATGTTTAATTTGAAATATAAGGCAATTTTTCCATCTGACACTGACCCCTTCTGTCTGCCCTGAGTGAAATTAAAATAAAATATTAAAATCTTTTTTGCAGCTGCATTACGTGCAGGACAAGCTGTGTGCTGATAAAAGCCTGCAGTAGATGTTTAATTTGAAATAGAAATAAATTTTTACTGATATTTTTGTATTTGCCACTGACCCCTTCTGTTTGCCCTCAGTGAAATTAAAATAAAATATTTAAATTTTACTGTTCATTTCCACATGCATTATGTCCAGCACAAGCTGTGTGCTGATAAAAGCCTGCAGTAGATGTTTAATTTGAAATATAAGGCAATTTTTCCATCTGACACCGACCCCTTCTGTCTGCCCTCAGTGAAATTAAAATAAAATATTAAAATATTTTTGCAGCTGCATTACGTGCAGGACAAGCTGTTTGTGGGCTTGGAGCACGCCGTGCCCACGTTTGGTGTCAAGGAGAAGGTGGAGGGGCCGGGCTGCTCGTACCTGCAGCACATCCAGCTGGAAACCGGCGCCAAGGTGTTCCTGCGGGGAAAGGGCTCGGGGTGCATCGAGCCGGCCTCGGGCAGGGAGGCCTTCGAGCCCATGTACATCTACATCAGGTATGGGGCGGTTCAAAAAAATNGAGATCATCACCAACGGCGTGGTGAAGGCGGCCACGGGCTCCAGCCCCACCTTCAACGGGGCCACAGTCACTGTGTATCACCAGCCAGCCCCCATCACCCAGATCACCCCAGCTGTGGGCCAGAAACCTCCCTTCCAGTCAGGGGTGAGTGAATTTTATTGCCTATTTCTGCTTACAGCATTTCCCTTTTATAAAGCAAACGTGTCACGTGTTATTTATTAAAAAAAAAAAAAAAAATCACAATATAAAAGCTGAAAAATCACCCCAAAAAAATCACCCTGAGCTGGTGGTGTGGGGTGTGGAGGGCTGGCAAGGCTGAGTCTGGAGAGTGAGACTCAGGGACCAGCAGCCTCCTGAAAGCAAAGGGATGGAGAGAGCAGCCCTGCCTGCAGCCAACCCAGGGCTCACTGCGCCATCCCACACTGATGGGAAATGAAAATGAAATGTTCTGGCTGTCCTCACTGAAATTCAAATGAAATATTAAAATTTTGCTGTTCATTTTCAGATGCATTATGTGCAGGACAAGTTGTGTGCTGATAAAAGCCTGCACAAAGTGTTTACATTGAAATAGAAATAAATTTTTACTTATTTCAGTGTTTCCATTGAAATAGAAATTGATTTTTTGAATTGACATTGAATTTTGAATTTACATTGAAATATAAGTCAATATTATGAACTGGTATTTTTGTATCTGACACTGAACCCTTCTGTCTGTCTGTCCTCAGTGAAATTCAAATGAAAATTAAAATTTTGCTGTTCATTTCCACATGCATTATGTGCAGGACAAGTTGTGTGCTGAGAAAACCCTGCAGAAGGTGTTTACATTGAAATAGAAATAAATTTTTACTTATTTCAGTGTTTACATTGAAATAGAAATCAATTTTTGCTTCTGAACTGATTTTTGTGTCTGACACTGAACCCTTCTGTCTGTCTGTCCTCAGTGAAATTAGAATAAAATATTAAAATTTTGCTGTGCATTTCCTCATGCATTATGTCCAGCACAAGTTGTTTGCAGGTAAAAGACTCCACAAAGTGTTTACATTGAAATAGAAATAAATTTTTACTTACTTCAGTGTTTACATTGAAATAGAAATCGATTTTTTGAATTGACATTGAATTTTGAATTTACATTGAAATATAAGTCAATATTATGAACTGATATTTTTGTCTCTGACACTGAACTCTTCTGCTGTCCCAGCAGTGAGACATCTGCCCTCAGTAAAATTAAAATTAAAAATAAAAGCTTCTGCTGTTAATTTACAGATGCATGATGTCCAGGACAAGTTGTTTGCAGGTAAAAGCCTGCAGTAGATGTTTAATTTGAAATATAAGGCAATTTTTACTTCTGAACTTATTTTTTGTATCTGCCACTCAACCCTTCTGCTGTCCCAGCAGTGAGATATTTGTCCTCAGTGAAATTAAAATAAAATATTAAAATATAAAAGCCTGCCATAGGTGTTTAATTTGAAATATAAGGCAATTTTTCCATCTGACACTGACCCCTTCTGTCTGCCCTCAGTGAAATTAAAATGAAATGTTAAAATTTTACTGTTCATTTCCACATGCATTTTGTCCAGCACAAGTTGTTTGCAGGTAAAATCCTGCAGCAGGTGTTTAATTTGAAATATAAGGCAATTTTTACATTTGACACTGACCCCTTCTGTCTGCCCTCAGTGAAATTAAATTAAAATATTAAAATCTTTTTTGCAGCTGCATTATGTGCAGGACAAGCTGTGTGCTGATAAAAGCCTGCAGTAGATGTTTAATTTGAAATAGAAATCAGTTTTTACTTCTGAACTTACTTTTTGTGTCTGACAGTGAACCCTTCTGTCTGCCCTCAGTGAAATTAGAATAAAATATTAAAATTTTGCTGTTAATTTCCAGATGCATTATGTCCAGCACAAGTTGTTTGCTGATAAAACCCTGCAGGACATGTGTGCATTGAAATAGAAATCGATTTTTTAAATTGACATTGAATTTTGAATTTACATTGAAATCTAAGTCAATATTATGAACTGATATTTTTGTATCTGACACTGAATCCTTCTGTCTGTCCTCAGTGAAATTAAAATGAAAATTAAAATTTTGCTGTTAATTTCCAGATGCATTATGTGCAGGACAAGTTGTTTGCAGATAAAAGCCTGCACAAAGTGTTTACATTGAAATAAAAATCAATTTTTACTTTTGAACTGATATTTTTGTATCTGCCACTGAACTCTTCTGCTGCCCTCAGTGAAATTAGAATAAAATATTAAAATTCCAGATGCATTATGTCCAGGGCAAGTTGTTTGCTGATAAAACCCTGCAGAAGGTGTTTACATTGAAATAGAAATCAATTTTTACTGATATTTTTGTATCTGCCACTGAATCCTTCTGCTGCCCTCAGTGAAATTAAAATAAAATATTAAAATATTTTTTGCAGCTGCATTACG